TATAATCTCTTATAAAAACACTACACAACTACTTCTTGTATTTTACACTGAAAAAATTATAAACTTACTAATTAATCAAACAAAAAGAAAAAATAACCAAATTATCCCTTCACCTACTACTTAACTACAAAATAAATAAACTATAAAAACATTCCTAAACTATTTCTGGTATTCTACATTAAACATTATAATTAAACTTAATAAAATTAATCTAATTTTACACTACAGCCACTACAACTATAAAGAAATAAGAACATTTTTTATAACTAGAAGAAACAGAACTTCGATACGAGCGACCAGTATAAATAGATCAAGCGGACAAAGAATATAAAATACTTTAAAAATGTGCATTCAGAACGAAAAAATATCTCGAAAATTATGTAAACAAACATTTTTTTTTCTTATCAGTGAAAATCATCGGCCTCGTCGGCCTTGCGGAATTTGTCGGGTATTTACAATGGTCGAATTGTATAATTACCAGCTTTTATAGCATATCTAATAGACAAAAAGGATCTGGTCGATTAGTAACCAATTGGCACGGTCCGAAAATTATCGATTTTTATTTTCTCTGTTTTTATTGGTCGCTTCAAAATTCAGAGTAACAAAAAATATTTTTCTGTTGTAAAAGACTGTGAAATACGCCCCGCCATCTGGTGCTTTACATCCATAAACGTCTTAGTTTGAGCTACTTTAAAAATTCATATACAAGGGTAATAGACACTTGTTAGAGTATTTATTTATATAAAAAGGGATGTTTATTCGTTTTATCGTTGCTTACGGGGATTTATCAGACACTTGCATTTAATGCAGTATTAACAATGATTAATTTATTTTTTAGGTGTATTTATTGGTGTGTGTTTATTCAAAGTACACATATTTCGAAAGTCTCTTAAGAACTGACAAGTGGATAATAAAAAAATTCCTTATATTTTGAAGGATCTATAGATAATATAAAATTAAATTGAGTAATATATATATACTTGTTTAAATATGTATTTAAATTAAAAGGGGGATTCCTATTGGGTTTATCGTTGGTTACGGGGATTTATCAGACACTCTTGCCTATATTTAACGCAGTATAAACAATTATACATTTAAGTACATAAAATATATATTATATTTATTAATCATACATTATGATACAATCAGTAATTACGTTGAATATTAAGATTAATCCAAGTATGGGATTTACAAAATTAAAAAATATAGTTTTCTATTTAAATACTTAGGTTCATACGTTACGGGGATTTATCAGACACTTACATTTAATGTAGTATTAATAAATAATGATTAACCCAAACAGAGCACAGTACATACAGAAGACATACATTTTAAATCCATTTTAGGTCGGTACGTCCATGGACTTAAAAAGGACGTTTTCTATACATAATAAAATGTACGTCCATAGATGTACGTTTTACAACATCTTATGTATGTTCAAAAAATACTGTTACGGATTCCGTGGGTCCACTATTTAAACTCACGATAAAATACTTAACGAATTTATTTGTTTCACTCTGTACACACAACTTATACTATTTACAACACAACTTATGCAACTACTATTAATCAGACTTCAGACTATCTTCCGACTTCAGTCTTCCCAACTGTCGTAAGCGCTCCTTTTATATAGCTGTGGTGAGTGTTTCGCGAACAATCCAAAATTATCGGGACGGGTCCGCCATCTACTAGTACATTCTATTGTCTGCTTCGCTTACTTGTCGACTTGATTACGAGATGGCGCTACAACAAAAAAATGTCTTCAGATTTCTTGACACATTGCGGTTTTAGTTGCTCGCTTCTCCGACAGATGGCGCCACATGCACCTTGACAATACTTTTACGTCTGACGCTTGCGTATATAAATGAAACGGAGTCAAGTTGTGATATACAGGGTGAGTTTCCTACGATGTTCTCTATGGGTATCTCGGAAACTACTGAAGTTAGAGAATCGGTTAAATGGGGAGAGAATTGCAGTTTTGTGAGGTCATAAATATGCGCCTTTCAGATTTTTGAAAGTTCATGGCTTACTAGATATTTCGAAAAAAAAACTTTTGACTATTTTCAAAATTGTCCCTAATTTCATTATAATGTATTTTAATTTTACAACTACAATAAAAAACAGTGAATAAAATTTAAAATGTGCCTTATAATTTTTATCAGCTCACAATTGTTAATTAATGAGGGAATAAGAAGTAAGAAAATTCAACATTTATTTACCTTAACTTTCATTTTAGGGATGTTTCAAACAAAGTAAATCAGAACTGAAAATATAAGATGTATAATATATATTATGATCGAATAAAAACGACGTCAGCGATGGCTATGAAATGAAGATCGCTGTCATTTAATATGTAAATTTATATAGGAATTGCCATCGATCGTCATTTACAAGCCAACTGGACGCCGTTTTTATTCGATCATACGGATTTTGTATATCTAAACAAAATTATCTGATATTATAATATACAGTCATCAGAAAAGTCTAGCGATAATTTTACAAAATCATAAATAAAATAAAATGGTGATTGTTTAGTAAACGGTTCTTAGTTTAAAGAAATATTTAGTTTTTTTTTTTCTCTTGTTTGCAAAAGAAAATTCATATTGTTTATAAATAATAAAAAGTGCATGTGCAAAGAATTTCAATACAATAAAATGTAAGAAAGTCATAAAATTCATGTAATAAGAACATTAATTATATGTATGTCAAAAGATGTCCATTTACATTATAGCAACCAAAATTTAAAACAAAAGCCGTATAAAATTGTAACGGTAACAAAAAAAGTAAGGCCGCAAAATTCCATCTTTGGCTCACCCCAATAAAATTTTCACAAAAGGTAGGTAATGGTTTGTCAAACCCAAATAGATACCTAGATTAGATTTATTCTTATAAGAAAGTACGGTTTTTCGAAAATATATGTTGTTTATAAATTACAGGCGGTTTATAGAACTTAAATTTAATTTTTAACATTCAATACTCTTTCTTAAAAGGGAAACAGAATTTGTTATTAACTTATTGGTAATTAGTATGTACCATGTACCTTTTTCCTACAAATAATTTAATTAATAAATATATAATTTAAAAAACATAATAAATATGATTTAAAAAATAAACCTAAAAATATAATTTAGAGATCTGCTATTTTTTATGTCTAGGTACGCCTCTGATCTACAGAGAATAGGATATAGTAATATACCTAACCCTACTTATTTGTATTTACCGGTGAAAAGTTAAATTTGGATTTAAATGATACACTCTCTTGTACACAATACATGAATGCACCATATTTTCAAAATAGTGTCCACAGAAGTCCACAAAATAACGCAAAAATACTATAATACTGCAAATAAAGAATATGGAGCTTGATCAGCGGCATAGCAACATTGCAAAAAGAGAATCTAGGATTTTCCATTCATCCCGAAATACGTTGTACTACGCCGGCATATTTCTAAAACTGACGTTGCCAAACTGCTTTTTATTATTAAAAGAAACACGACCATGATAAGCATTATTGAATTTATTGAATTAAGCATTAAATGAAAAAATTGACGTTAGCAAATTAATGTAGTTGATATATTACAAAAATATAACGAAATTATTTATTACTTAATAATTGGTTGTGGTATTTAATCGAATACTAATACCAATATACAGGTAAATCTGGCAAATGTTTTCGGTATAAGAGGGATGGGAAAATAAGGATAGAATAATGGCTGATGAAGGAGAAAGGTAAACAATTGTATCTCTTGAGTTTAAATATCTTTGAGAAAATTGCTTCTTGGCTTCAAAGGCTTATGCTCAAAGATATCCAAATAGGAATCTTCCTGATAAGCGTTCCTTTGAAAAACTACTTGTCCTATTTTGCAGACCTGGTAGTGTGGTTTATAAAAAACCTATTAGGCAGAAACCTGTCATTGGAAGTGAAGAAAATGAATTTGCCGGAATTGCCTTTTTTATAGAAAATCAAATCAAAGAACTATTTTTTCGTTTTTCTTGATAGAATAATAAATACATATTTAATAAATATTATTTATTAAACTATTGTCGGTAAATTAAATAAAAGTAAACTGGTATAAATTTAAATAAGCCCATAAACTAATTTCGATTTTGAAAATAGCTACTAACTGTCACTGGAAACTTGCCATGGCGACACTAGCCCTCTCTTGAATGCCATTTTATTGAAACGTTACTCTTTTTCAAAATCTGAGCTAGATGGGTATAGGAAACCCTAATACAGTTTAAATGAGCATTTGAATCTGCTTCGATTTATTGTAAAAAATACAGAATGTTGTACTTGAAATAACGAAGTTTTTATGTAAAATAAATTCTTAAAATTGATCAGCAATTTCTGATACCCCTGTATAAATTTAAGGAAGCAATAACATTTTTCTGTAAAGTTCATTTCTCTACCTTTAAACTCAGCACAAGAAATAATTCTGAAAAGTAATATACAGGGTGTTAATAATCTATTTTACTGTAGCATGCAAATTTAAATATTTTTAAATATCTCAAAAACCAAAGATTTTAAACATATTTAACCCTTATAATAAATGCCTTTTTTTTGGACCCAAGAATCCAAAAATGAAACGAAATACTGTTCTGAAACACCCTGTATAATCTGTAAATTTCAAAATAATTTTAAATTGTGCACATTTCCTCCCCACATATACCCTAAAATATTTTGTTTCTACATCTTTCCGTTTTCGTATATCAACCAGGGCGAATGAGATGCGCCACCCTGTAATGTAATAATTCATTTATTTTTGTTTTTTGAAATACTTTGATTAAAAGAAAATATGTACAAGTGGACAACGCTGTGCCGGTCAAGCTTAATCACGTGACGAAAAGTTTAAACTCTTCACTTTTTTTTCAAGTTCTCACAGGTTCATAAGAAAAAAATCCGTGATATTCTCAAGAATCATTGGATGGTATAAAATTAAAATAAATAATACACCACTAATTGTAACTGTTAAAGTATTTATTTATATAAAAAAGGGATTTTATTCATTTTATCTTTATGGGCTTATTTCCAAATCAATTACACCTAATATATGTATGATTAATAAATTGTTTATTAAATGGAATAATATAAAAAATTGAAATACAATGTCAAATAGCCTAAATTTTTTTAACGAATTATAAAACAGCTAAATACTACTCTATAAATTGAATGAATGATCATAATTAACCAAAAATTTTACTCTAGAAGCAGTCCAAATATTTGTTGAAGTCAAACATTGTTTGGTAGTGAACACATTGCTTTGTACCATGGTATATTTAAGATAGAAGATATATTAATATAAGATAATGATACTATTAAATTTCACTTCCAGAATGTTTAACATTTCCTTGTAATACTAGAGCGATAAGCTAGGTTTATAAACTTAAAATATATTTTATGTTGTTATTTTATCTTTTATTTTATGTCAAAATCGACGTTAACACTGGTGTCATAAGTCAGAATCTCATAAGTAGAGACACTTGCCTCAGTATGGTCATTCGCATACCACATCAAAACATTGTTCACATCGTCAGTTAGGATTTTCCCAATGACTATTTCACCTTGGTCTCTTTGTCTGCCGATGTATAGACGATTCCTGCCTTCTATGCCCGCTAAAATAAGGTGGTTTGATTTTGGGATAGAGCTAAGTAAGGCAGCGCCAGAAGTCATCCATTTCAAACGTTCAGGCTGTTTAGATCCTGTGTACAACAGGATCTAAGAAAAATCTGGGTTAATTTTTACAATCAAATATTTATTTTGAAATTGCCATTACACAACAAGCCTTGCACGAGATATTACAGTCAAAGTTTCAATATGGGAAAATATATTTCTTAAAAGGCATAATAATAATAGCTTTATTTAGCACTTGGCTAATTGAAACTAAAATATTCTAGCACTATACATATAAAAAGAACATTTTAGTTTCAATTATTCTTTGACCTTATGAAATATATTTTAAGAAAATTTAATTCTTGGTTTGAGGTCATGTAAATAAATATTTTAAAAATTTAATACATTAATTATTATTTATTAATATATTTTTGTTTGTTGTTTGTTGTTGTGTTGTTTATTGATATATTTTTTGTTTGTTTTGTATGTTTCGACCATTAACTTGGTCTTTTTCATAATGAATCTTCCACTTGTTCCATGCTGAACGTAGATTTGTACTTTTTGTTAAAACTTAATCCTTAATCCTTATCTAAATGTTATTGACTTTTAAAAATTTACACAGGGCGTTTTAAAGTTAAGGTAAAGAAACAACCCTTCCATTAACCCTGTATAATATGCCAAATACTAAAATTTATAAAAACTTAATTTACAAATTAAAGTTCATATAATTATATACAGCTTGCTAAAAAAAATCATGAAAATAAGGCTAAAAGTAACAAAAATATAACACTTTAAATTTGTCCAAAAATTTCTCGGTTGCATTTTTTGCATCTGAGTGTAGAACTCTTAAAAGCTAAAGTGAGAATAAATACTATTAGAATACCTGTTTAAATTTGCTGGCTTCTCTTCGTCCATCTATCGGTACAACTACGGTTTTTCCTGGTCTTATTGCTGTAGGGTATACCCCAGGTATTTCTTCTACGGACGCCAGGCCAACGTAAACATTCTGCCCATGTGTATCAACTCCTCCAGGATAGGCATCAGCAGGGAGAATTTCATTATAGTCTCGCCAAAAATAATCGAAGTTAATGTTCTGTTTTGCCATACTGATTATTTATCAATAAAGCCATAGCACCTTTTTGAAGGGAATAATATAGGTAACTTATCATTTTTATCTTTCATAGGTGATAACGGTTGCCAATGTTTTAACTAGTGATGAGCGAGATTGGTCTTGTACCGACTATACAAGACTGACGCAAGACCAAGACAGTATGCACGACTCTTGCCGCAAGAGTCTTGCGATATTTTTTATTAACATTTCATTTTTCATAATTTTTAATATACCTAGATATATGTTTCATAGATAGTTTTAAAAGATAATGAAATTTCTAGTTACCTACCCCTCACCCTTCACCCCTATAATTTTTAAATAAAATATACAGTGTGTCGCTATTATGTATGAAAACGGTAGATTATTGAAATCAAACAAGGGTAAAATATAGGAGGTACCGCAAAAAGTTAAATATAACTAACGAGAGAGACAGCTTTTATTGAAATAAAATTTTGTGAGCATATATAGATTAATTCGGAGCACTTTTTAAAAATATAGAGAGTTCTACAGGGTGTCCCCATAAAAAGTTACATATTAAAGTTGTATTTTTTGTAATGGAACACCCTATATATTAATTGATTTTCGGATTCTGCGAGAAAAATAAAAGTGAGTTTTATAAGAGAAGTATATGACTAAACTGTAAGGTTTGTGACATATTTAACATTTTCTAGAAATAAGGAACATTTTTTAAATTAGAATAAAAGCTACCTAAATTGGAATTTACCCGGTATAGCCTAATGTGTAGTTAAATTAACTATTGTACCTTAAATCAAATTAAAACTTGATCCAAAATGTTATACAGGGTGAGACAAAATTAATATTGAACATTGGTAACCTTTAAATGCATGTTACTCTTTTATTTTAAATGGAACACCCAGTATATTATTCCGATATTCAATGGAGAATTCATGTCTCTTCAAAATACTATTAATGTTGCCTACCCCTCAAAGAAAGATTTTCGTAGATATTTTCATTTACATGATTTGATCTGAATAGATCTTTATTATTTGATAAAATCTAGGTGGCTGTGATATGTCGGATGTTACTTCAACATAGCTGTCTAATTAGTTCAACTTTAACAACTACCTAGTTATCATTTTGTGTCATATTTTTTATTTAAAAAACGGTCAAGTTTCCGAAAAAAACGCTTAAACACGTTTATTTTATTTTGTTTTTTTACATATTTTAAGATTTTTTAAAAATGTATACAGGGTGTTTCGAAAAATCTGGTCATTGATTAATCACGATCCTGCTTAAAGCGCTCCACGTAAAAAGCTGATTTTTGGAAAACAGATTGACTTTAGGGTGTAGAGGTTCGATAAGAAGGGATATTTTGAAACTCGAATTCTAAGGGGGTGAAACTATCCCTCAAATATTAAATTATTTTTTATTTAAAAACCGGTGAGTTTTTCGGAAAAACTCTTAAACACATATATTTTATTTTGTTGTTACATTTTTTTAAGATTTTTTATAAATTTATACAAAACAATTTTAATTATTGGAACACAATAACTGATCAATAAATATACTTCAGTAAATATTTAGTATTAAAAACTTTGATACCCTCGGAGAAATGAAGCCTTAAAATTTATACTGCAATTTCACAAAATTGAAAATATTTCAAAAACGGTAAGGTTTAAGTGTAATAAACTTTAATCAAATTTACCTTTATTTTAATCGTAGAAACTAAAAATGCAATAATATACAGGGTATTCCATTTATAAAAATACAACTTTGATATTTTTTATTTATTTGGGACACTCTGTACTTTGTAAAAATATTTTTAAATTGTAGCTCTAATAGTCCTTCAACGAACCCAAAACTTACAATTTGTAAAAATCTAATTGTTTAGCTACAATACTCCGTGTCGTATGTGGTGAACAACCCTGTATATTATAATAAATTGTTTATTAAATGGAATAATATAGAAAATTGAAATACAAAGTCAAATATTCTAAAATTTTTTAACAAATTATAAAACAGCTAAATACTACTCTATATTGAATGAATGATCATAATTAATCAAAAATTTTACTCTAGAAACTTAAAAGCAGTCCAAATATTTGTTGACGTCAAACATTGGTTGGTAGTGAACACATTGTTTTGTGTACTATCCATGGTATACTTAATATAGAAGGTATATGTATATTAATATAATAATACTATTTAATTTAACTTCCAGAATGTTTAATATTTCCTCGTAATACTAGAGGGATAAGCTAGGTTTATAAACTTAAAATATATTTTATGTTGAGTCTAAACCTACGTTTTCAGCACTGGTGTCATAAGTCAGAACATCATAAGAAGAGAGACTTTTCTCAGTATGGTGATGTGCATACCACATCAAAGCATTGTTCACATCGCCAGCTAGAATTTTTCCAATGACTATTTCACCTTCGACTCTTTGTCTGCCGATGTATAGACGATTCCTGCCTTCTATGCCCGCTAAAATAGGGTGGTTTGATTTTGGGATATCCTTAAGAATTGAGGTGGCGCTAGCAGACATCCATTTCAAACGTTTAGTCTGCCCCGTACACAGGATCTAAGAAAAATCTGGGTTAATTTTTACAATCAAATGTTTATTTTGAAATTGCCATACCACAAAAAGCCTTCCATGAAATATTACAGTCAAAGTTTCAATATGGAAAAATATATTTCGTAAATGGCATAATAATAATAACTTTATTTAGCACTTGGCTAATTAAAAGTAAAATATTCCAGCACTATACATATAAAAAGAAATACATTAGAATCTCAAAAAATTGACAATTTTTTTGTTAAAAATACACACACTTTTAATTTCGCTTGGCAAAGCATTAAACTGACGCAATCTATTATAAAAGAGACTATAAAAAACAGTAATAATTGAAAAAATTGCGAATTGATCATAATCAGTTCATTTCGCTCTTAAAAATTAACCAAAGCATGTATTGCCATGAATCAAAAAACAAAATGTTCAGGAGTCATGGTTCTGACCGTAAAATTATTTTTTAGGAAAATTTTCGCATGAAACTATTACACAGGGTGTTTTAAAGTTAGGGTAAAGAAACAACCCTTCGATTAACCCTGAATAATATGCCAAATACTAAAATTTATAAAAACTTAATTTACAAATTAAAGTTCATATAATTATATACAGCTTGCTAAAAAAATCATGAAAATGAGGCTAAAAATAACAAAAATATGACACTTTAAATTTGTCCAAAATTTTCTCATTTGCATTTTTTGCATCTGAGTGTAGAACTCTTAAAAGCTAAAGTGAGAATAAATACTATTAGAATACCTGTTTAAATTTGCTGGCTTCTCTTCGTCTATCTATCGGTACAACTACGGTTTTTCCTGGTCTTATTGCTGTAGGGTATACCCCAGGTATTTCTTCTACGGACGCCAGGCCAACGTCAACATCAGTGTACAGGAGTGTATCAACTCCTACAGGATAGGCATCATCAGGGAGAATTTCATTATAGTCTCGCCAAAAATAATCGAAGTTAATGTTCTGTTTCGCCATTCTGATTATTTATCAATAAACCCATAGCACCTTTTTGAAGGGAATAATATAGGTAACTTATCATTTTTATCTTTCATAGGTGATAACGGTTGCCAATGTTTTAACTAGTGATGAGCGAGATTGGTCTTGGTTTGCGGTTTTGGTCTTGGTTTGCGGCTGCAAGACCAAGAATAATACCGACTATACCAGACTGGCGCAAGACCAAGACAGTATGCACGACTCTTGCCGCAAGAGTCTTTTTTTTTAACATTTCATTTTTCATAATTTTTAATATACCTAGATATATGTTTCATAGATAGTTTTAAAAGATAATAAAATTTCTATTTACTTACCCCTCACCCTTCACCCCTATAATTTTTAAATAAAATATACAGTGTGTCGCTCTTATGTATGAAAACGGTCGATTATTAGGTGAAATCAAACAAGGGTAAAATATAGGAGGTACCGCAAAAAGTTAAATATAACTAACGACAGAGACAGCTTTTATTGAAATAAAATTTTGTGAGCATATATAGATTAATTCGGAGCACTTTTTAAAAATATAGAGAGTTCTACAGAGTGTCCCCAAAAAAAGTTACATATTAAAGTTGTGTTTTTTGTAATGGAACACCCTATATATTAATTGGTTTTCGGATTCTGGGAGAAAAATAAAAGTGAGTTTTATAAAAGAAGTATATGACTAAACTGTAAGGTTTGTGACATATTTAACATTTTCTAGAACTAATGAACATGCATTTTTTAAATTGGAATAAAAGCTACCTAAATTGGAATTTACCCCGGTATAGCCTAATGTGTAGTTAAATTAACTATTTTACTTTAAATCAAATTAAAACTTGATCCAAAAAGTTATACAGGGTGAGACAAAATTAATATTGAACATTGGTCACCTTTAAATGCATGTTACTCTTTTATTTTAAATGGAACACCCAGTATATTATTCCGATATTCAATGGAGAATTCATGTCTCTTCAAAATACTATTAATGTTGCCTACCCCTCAAAGAAAGATTTTCGTAGATATTTTCATTTACATGATTTGATCTGAATAGATCTTTATTATTTGATAAAATCTAGGTGGCTGTGATATGTCTGATGTTACTTCAACATAGCTGTCTAATTAGTGTAGACTTTAACAACTACCTAGTTATCATTTTGTGCCAGTTAAAACAAAACAAAAAATTCTCAGAAATTTGCCAAAAATGCAAACTTATTCTACATCAGAAAGAATTGATATGTTTCTATTAGTTGGTGAACGCAGTCTGCATTCACCAATTAATAGAATACTTAAATGCTCCTGATTTTATTTAGTGTGTTTTTTTTATGGGGATATGTTAATGGGGACAGTGTTTACAAAACCCGACCAACTATTGTCGACAACATGAGAGGAACTATTGTAGCTGCTTTTCGAGGTAGAACTCCACATATTATGCCTTTTAAAATGAGAAGATACTTTTGAAAAGACAATCATTTTATGCAGTTAACAGGAAAGAAAGCATTTTGAGCATTTGATTTCATCTAGCTAATTTTTGTCACATAATTATAAGTTTATATCTAGTTTCAATTCTGTAATAATTAAAATATGTTTTTAACGTCTATCTTTTTATTACCGTTGAATGTTCTACTCTACATTCTTTAATTTTTGTTAAATTAACAAAAGGTATATCACACAGACACCTATTAGATTTTGCCAAATAATAAAGATCTACTGACGGAAAATCATAAAAATTAAAATATCTAGAAAAATCTTTGTCTGAGGGGTAGGCAACCTTAATAATATTTTGAAGATATATAAATTCCCCATTGAACACCGGAAAATATACTGGGTGTTACATTTAAAATAACGGAGTAGCTTGCTTCTAAAAGTGACTAATGTTACAAATTAATTTTGTCTCACCCCGTATAACTTTTCGGGTCAAATTTCAATTTGGTTTAAGATACAATGGTTACTGTAATAATAAAATATCAGGCTATACAAGGTCAACTAAAATTTAGATAGCTGTTATCGAAATTTAAAATTTACTCTTCATTTTCACAAAATGTGAAATATGTCAAAATCCTTAGATTTTAGGTATATTATGCTTCTTTAATAAAACTCACCTTTATTTTTTTCCTAGAATCCGAAAAGCAATGAATATACAGGGTGTTCCATTAGAAAAAACACAACTTTGATGTGTGGAAAAAATCTAGATGTTAAGAGGCATACTGGGAGAACGAAGGGCAAAATGTACAAAATAAAATATGGAAAGATGTCAGAAATGAGCAGTATTTTAATTTGAAAGTTACAAGCTAGAAGGAAACCACAAAATAATATATCAAAAAAACTAAATTTAGGTTGAAGAACATTGTTTGACGTGGCAATTTGAAAGTGTATAACAGTCTTCTTAACAACTAATTTTATATTAAGGCACAATCCTTGTGAGAGTACAACAATAATTAAATTCAGTGAAAAAAAATCTTTTGGGGATCTTCTACAAAGAATATCATCTTTGCAATTGTCACAAAATTATATGCCTGAACGAAAATCAGTACACATAAGGTGAGACCATTTTTTTACATATATTATATTGGACCTAGTCCTCCCCTGGTCTTGAATTTTTGAAATTGTCTCCGCATATCAAAAATTAATATATTATATCAATCAAGTTAATACATATCAAAGGTTGTGCTCTTGGAAATGAAGCAGGGTGGGGCATTTTTATTAAGAGCTTTTTTGAGTTATGAGTTTTCGTTTGTCCAATTTGTCTCTTAAGACTCTCTCTTTTATTGTTACTTTTAGAATGAATTAATGGAGTGTCTGTTAAAATCTCCGATTTTTGCGTCTCTCTTTTTATTTTTTGTTGTTTTTGTTTTTCACATTTTGGAATAATATGGATATTGCAAATTGTTGCAAATCAGTTGCGCTTGCTACTGTTTTGCAACCTCGAGAGCGTATAGTAATGTTAAGCCGCAAACCAATCGATTCAAACGGGATTAATTTGCAATCAGTCGCAGAACTGTTAGTTGTTTGCGACCATTTCCCGCGGTCGCAATTGCGTCGCGTTCTAAAAGTTGCTTGTAGAATGTAGAATCTAGAATGAGTAAGAGGGGCACTACAACCTAATCACTGCGACCTTAAAGATCTATTGCGCCCCCCTTCCTTGAGTCATCACACAATCTATAACCCATCATACCCCTGTTGTAGAGGGGACAGGGTATTTCCCATCTTCCTCTGATAACAGTTCTTCCTCCGAGGGTACACACCCTTCCACGGTTGGAGTTTCGCCCTCCGTGCCGCTCCTCACAGTCGAGGAGCTTGCCTCCGGCTGAGAAACCAGTGAGGTGGAGGCTGGAGGATCTGTCTCCATTTTCCCCACCTCTTTAACTTGGTCTCTCCTTAGAACTGATATAGGTGTTGTCCCGTATCTATAATAGAGGATATGTCCTTTCTCTATTGCCTCCTTGGATTTGAGGTCAAATCCTATTGTGAGGACCTGACCATGACCCTCCTCCCTCGAGTTGATGACTCGCAAACTCGATGTTCTTATATTAAAGTTCTATGACCCTCGATAAGGCTCAGCTTGTAGGTGGTGTCTTTCCTCTTGCTACTCGGCAGAAAGACCGTTATGGCCGTCCCTTTAGAGATTTTTTCTCCCTTCACTGCAACCAGTTCCGGCCCCTGCCAATTTTTAAGCTTAGGTGCGATTTCCAACAACCAATTCGCCGATTTTTGAGATACACAATCTATGAGGATCATGTCCACCCAAAAGTGTATCCCCGCAAAACGCAGCTGACCCACATTTTGTAGATCGTGTTGCGATCCGATCGCCACTACTTCGTCCAGTATAGCCTCTTCTGGAGACGTTTGCTGGTCGGTGGTCAGAGCAACCTCTGGGAAATCCTTTGGCAGCACCGCCATTTTCACTTGTCCAGCAATAGCGGCAAAGCTGGTGATCCGTCCCTGCTTGCCTCCCGGTGTTGGACGGTTTTCCATCCTGGTTTTTTTCTTTCCCTGCCGGAGAAGAGGTGAGAGGTTCTCGCTCCCTCTCTTTCCCTTTGATGGAAATGAGTCAGGTTGTTACTTGGTTTCTTTACAAACTCTCCCCTTTTCGGAGGAGTGTTTTCGCTTTTGCTTCCTCTGGAGGAAGTCCTTCGTGAAGCAGTCGGAGGTATCTCCGTGCTTCTGCTCCGCTAAGACCTAATCTCAGAGGATCGTCTAACCCGCCTGGTTGACCCAGGCCGGGTAGACGAAACGGTAGCTTATATCGCTTACTCATCTTGCTGTAGAAGGTGGTAGCTTGTGTGCCACTTGTGGAGGATGATCCCAAGCAAGTGTCAGCCGCCCCATGTTCCCAGTGTCGCTAGGGGGCTTCCCCGCAGCTTCACCGGTGGTGTATTTAATACTCATAATAATTTAGTCTCATAGTGTTCCTACGAGTCGCTAGGGATAGTCGGTCCACTTCTACAGAGCCCCGCATGCAGAAGTAAGGGGTAAATACAATGGGGTGCCCCCTGATGCCCCAAAAGTTCCTTGTTTTTGTTATTTCTATATATATAGTTGATAATAATTAAATATGTCTTCATCATCCAAATATTCGAAATTTGACACACTAACTTATTTAAATTGAATACTACACCAAGTGCTTGAAACTGATTAAATTTACAAGAAAGAAATCCAAAAAAGATCTAGTGGTTCTCAAAATTTTAGCAAAAAATATTTTTTTTTGGAAATTTTCAAGATAAAATAACTCCGTTATTTTGGACTTATTTGAAAAACGATAAAGAGAAAATATGTTTCTTTTATCGAGATCTACCACCACTTACTTGCACTTATTTCTGGGACACCCTGTATATATCTTTTTCAACTTATTAAGGTTCCTTTTTAAACACATCTCTACAACAAGTGAGATTGAAACCAAAAAAAAACGCAAAAGAAAGAAATTAGAACGCCACCCTTATTAAATACAGTTTATGCCTCGCGTTCTCACCTTCTCAAAGGCGTTGATTTATGGCTTCGCGGCATCTTATCCGACACTATCTAAATGGTAGTCGATTGCTTATTACGATATTCCCAAAGATATCGCACCGAAAGCTCCACTTATCAACACTTTAAGGCT